CTGTGTCTGATTGGGCGGAATGCAAACCACGCCCCGTCAAACTCCCAAAAACTTTTGTGAAGCCGCCATTTTATTATCCTTGCATTGCATTATTAGCATTAGCATTATAACTTATGACAACACAAAATAAAACATGGGAGCGGTGGAGAGTAGGAGGTGTCGGCGTTCTGGCCGTTTACTTGGAAGCTGCTGGGAGTCCCAGCAGCTTCTACTGAAGCCAGTCCACAACTCCGGGGACTTCCGGCCGGGGATTTTGGGCGGCAGTATACGCCGTGAAGTTGTTTGCGGCCTGCCAGTAAACCCAAAGCAGAAGAAGAAGAATTGACGTCAGCGGCTTCATTTGCCTAATCCATCCCCAGGAACTAATTTCCGGTGTGAACGCGATCTCTACTTAGTTCATGAGAACTAAAGAGTTCTCAGGAACCTTTGTGGGAAAAGTACTTGGTGTGAGTGCGCCTATAGTGTGCTTTATTGTGATTCATAATATTTGTATTCATTCAGTTATCATGGTCAAAATCATTTAAACTTGTAAAACACTTCTTAGCCTCAAGCAGGTAACCTTTACTTTTAAAAGAGCCATTCTGCCCCCTATGCCACCAACTAAATGTTGTCTGGAGCCGAAAAACATATTCAATAACAAAGCTTATTTAAGGTTTTATATATAATTATACTTTTTTTTATTATGATTTTTTTATAATTAAAGATGTTATAACAACTGATTGAAATAATGTCAACATAGCAAACCTAAGAAACAAAAGGTAACATTTATTCATGCTAAACTTGCACAACTAAACACTTTTCACTAAAACAGTCTTTAGATTTGTTGTATTCCCTTTCAAAGAAGGCTCTTTATTTATCACCAAGGACAATGCAATTGTTCACTCTGTTATATAGCACAGTACACAAATATAAACAGGACCTTTACACATGAGGACTGAATACATATAAACATACTGTAGACAAACAAACACATTCATGTTTTGTTATGGCAAGGTGTTCAGAGCAAACTGAACACTCTGTGTTTTTGGGCCAATCGGGACTTAAAATGGCAACCCTTCGGTCCCCAAGCCATGTCCCTATAGACTGAGCACTTAGATTACATTTACAAAAAATAATATTAGGTTCAACTTCACATTATTATTGCTTTCAAATATCCTAATACAGTTATGTGAAATGTGTCAACGTTTCAGTTTTGTCAGTCTATGTTAACTTTAGCTCAGTAGAAACAGCTAGATTCTTTGGTAGCAAAAATAAGAATAAGACAACAATAAGAAACTCTATTATGAGTCATGTTTTTTTTGTCATTAAATTATATTTAACTGAGACTTTTATTTTAAGCACATCTAGATTGTTGGCAATGCCTAGGGAGCTAAAGGACACTTTGACATCTTCTCTCCAGGGTCTGGGAGTCGAACCACTAACCCATTGATTGGCAGACGGCCAAACACCCCTGAGCCACAGCCTTCCTTTGATCTTTTCCTTTAGCTCTACTAACAACACACACATGCACACAAATACGTGGGCCTTGAGGCATGGCCTCTCATCTCAAAGGCAACAACATTTCACACGCCATATATTATGTGCTGCCTCACAGCCCTCCCCCCCAGAAGCGGTATAGTATCCGAGCCATTTATAGCCTGTCTGAGCGCTGCACTGACACACTGATGTGATTGAATGAATGTAGGCCAGGCTTTAATGGACACAGTGGCTCTCAGTGTGTGCATGTGATGGACTGCTCTATTCATGTTGATATAGCCATGCAGTTCACAGCACACACTTAGCGATGTATTGATTCCTCGAGGTGTAGCTGTGGTCTCACTGTTCGGCTGCAAAGCGATCCATGTGGCCACACCGAGACAAGCTGCCATTAAACTGTCAAATCATTCCAGATGAAATCACGTAAATACCCTTTAACTCAGAAAAGATCTAAAAGATTGTGTAAATTGTATTTATATGAGTTGTAAACAAGATGATGCGTTGTGTGTTTAAGCATGTCTGGCTCCTGCAGAACAACAGTCATTATTATCATCATTTAGTGAGCTCATGCTTCATTATATATGTAAACAGTCTGTATAACAAACATTAGGAATATGTTTATATATTGACAGACTTCCATAGAAATATAATGTATATATAATCAGACACCTGTCCTTATGCAGTAGGCCTTGTTTTATTAAGATTTTGATCATTTTGATAGTACGCATTGATTTCTGTTGTCTTGTTTTTGCTCTTCTCCTAGGTGAAAAAAAAACATGTTTACAAGTAGTCGGGAACCGTCTTACTAAGATAAGAAATCAAAACACCTTGTTTTACACTCCACCAATGTGAACGTTAATCCAGTATAAGGTAAAAATGACTTTTTCATTTGAGCATTATAAAAAAAAGATGATGTTTATATAATCCTGTCCCACCATTAAAATCACAGGATTGCATTGTTTACGTTTATTTAGCAGTACTCACATTTCACTACAGCTATCTTTATTATTGTACATCCTGGTGGTGGCATGAATATGCTATAGTGTTTATGGGGGCGTTACCCATGCTTATAAGTAACATTCCCATTTATGATAAATGGGAATCATCATTTAAAACACCTGGAAAAGTGCAGATTTCAAACTGGCTTCTTTTATTTTTGCTCTTAACTGAAAAAATAAGAGAAATGTAAAGTAATGATGCTGCATTGAGCCCAATGTGTATCAACATCTAGATGTTAGTCTTATGAGTTCATTTCCAATAAGGATCACCTCTCAGTCTGTTAAAGACTGTTAAAGTGTGTCAAAGTGATTTAATTGGACTGATATGACGTTAACGATTCAATCAGCTCACCTTGAGCAGAAAGCTGATGCTCATGGAAAACCATGTTATTTATGTATACAATAGGTGATAGGCGGACACACTTCTGATAATCTTATGTTTACCTTTTTTTTGGTCTTCATCATTCCTTCTTTATTTTAACTGTTTGAAATGTGTTCCAAATGTCATATTTGTACTAGTGTCATACAGTAGTGCAGATGGGATGGACTCACCGTGTCCGTTCCATACTTCAGCGAGGTGACACTCCCCCTCTCCGGCTTCTTTACAGTATTCCACAACGTCAATCACTCTGGTTGCCGGAGTAACCGGGACCTCAGTAAGCATCTGCTGGGTGTCATTGAGGTAAACTGTCAGGATCACCTGTAACCATAGAAACAAATATGTCAGATGTCATAAAATGGCTTAATGTATATCACCTTTCCACTTCAGGAACATGAGCATAATGGAAGTTCTTCTCACTGATTAGTGATTGGGTTCAAAGAGATCAACTCATTCACTTTGGTCAACCAATCGATCAACATGGTTCCAATATTAACCAGTGATAAAATCAATCACTCCTGTTCCGATCTCAGAAACAGGAAGCAACCTGGCTGATCACGTTCAGATGGGAGAGGAAAATCAAGGTAGACAAAATCAAGGTAGACAAATAAAGACAGTGACCATCAGCTCAAACAAACCATCTATCACTCCCCCCGTATTTTTTTTCTGTTTTGTTTATCTCTTTTTGTATTTCTTTGTCTTTTTTTTGTTGTGTTCTCTTAATTCTCTGTCAAAGCGTCTTTGAGTTTCATGAAAAGCGCTATAAAAGTCCCATGTATTATTATTATTATTATTATCAGATCCATAGATACGTAGATACATTAGCAGAGTGTGAATACACAGTGTACCAACGGAAAATGAAAGAAATCCAATCAGAGACAGCCCATGTACAGGAAGTCAACTTGTCTTTGAAAGCACAATATAAACCTGAGCTGAAGAAGGTACATTTGATCTAACGTTGATGTGTTAATGCTCATTATTAATCTGGAAACACATTGAAAAAACATTCATGCAAATGAATCACATGACCAAGTTTGACACAAAGTTGCTCCTGTAATAGCAGAACAGATGTTTACCATGGATAGCATGGCATTGAAAAGGCAAAGAAAGCGGAGGAACTGGTTCCTTAGGTTTAGTGAAAACAGAGGAAAGGCAATTTGCCGAACCATGACCCATTTTTCTAAAATTGCACAGAAGAGGGAGATAGCGGAAAGGGTCACCCCCGTAGGAACAGATAGAGCTCGCAGTGTGAATACTACACACTGCAGCACACATTATACAGCAGCTTTGTCAATGCTTTAGCTAAGTGCCGGAAAATTGTCAGACCATATGCTAATAATTCAGAAATCATGTTACAATAAAGTAAAAGAGCCTTGGATTTATCTCAACAGATTAAAACTTGATTACAACACTACACTTGTAATTAATAGTATTTTAAACAGGTGCTTCATCAGGATTAATCACAGATTATTATTGTGATTAACGCAAAAATGTTTATAGATTGACAGCACTAAATGTCATCTTTAAGACATCAAGACAAACATATTGTCAAGTGATTAGAAGGTCATTGAGATAACAGCAGTATGAAACAACACACAGCCATCCATCTGACTTAGCAACACATTGATCACAGCTCTGTAATTACCTATCAATAATGGCTTGCATAAACAAGACATGCACATACATAGCCCTATAGGACAAAGGTTTATTTGAATGTGATCAAATGAAAAGGTAAACCATCTCATCTTTCCATCCATATTAAATCAGAAAGGTTCCAAAACCCAATGTATATTACTATTTAGTTAGTTTAGTTTAGATTTATATAATCAAGGGAGTGTAATATTGACAGAATAAAAAAGATATTGGTTGGGTTTATCATTTTTAACATTTATCAGCTGATCCCCTCTGAAATCATTCTGTTATCCAATCCTCAGAATTCTGCAGGAAAAAGATTAAAATAGCAATCAGAAAAGGACATCCTGTGTTATCGCCAGTGATGTCATCGCCAATGTCATGTCAGATAGTCATCGGCATTTCAAGATACATTTAGGGTAATCTGGGATAGGAACACACCGAGGCACACACACACTGATACAGATGCACTTTTAATCTCAATGCTCTCTCTCTCTCTCTAGCTCTGAAACACACACACACACACACACACACACACACACACACACACACACACACACACACACACACACATTGGGACCTCAGAAATCGGGA